TAAAAAAAGGAGCCCAAGAGTTGGCGGTGGGTGGTGATGACTATTTGCCTTCCCTCTAGTCTTACACTGCGAAATTAGGGACGGCTAGCGCAGATAGCCCTCGTGTAGCTTTGCGCGAAATTCAAAAACAAACAAACAAAATACCATTGTAACTGCGAGACCTGAAATGTATGATTCTCTGAACTTAAACGCGTTTTGAGCGTTTACGATATAAATACGGATAATCTTATTCATTCCCTTATTTTTCTCTTTTCTTTACATTTAATTACCACAGCAATTTGACGTTACTATTCTGTACTCTTTTTACCCAAAGATAGTCTTGCTTAAAACAATTAATCGACAGTAATTAGATTTTCTAAAGTTTCGTGTTGGGAAGCAAGCCAAGGTGTTTAAGGCGAGCAAATCCAGTTAAGCGTTCTAATCTCGAAGTAATTGGTTTTAATATCGCTCACCGACGGTCTCCTCTTGGTTAAGTTCAAAACAGGAGACACTAAGCTCTTTATCATATTTAGGAGAATATCTAACTCGAAGTTATATATATATATATATATACGCAGTTTATAAAAATTACTTGTTTTTTTTATTATTATTCTTATTTAAGTTGTCTTTGGTACATATCATTTGCCACAGATCTGTATTGGAAATCGTTAAAGCCTATTACAGTGAAGACTGTAAAAACGTTTACGTTCCTTGTAACGAAGCTTAAAAAATATAAAATCAGAGACCAATTCGTTTAAAACTAGATTATTTGGAAACGATTCTTGTAAGGAGAGAGAGCGAGATGGTGATACCGTATTGAAGAAAACATTTCATACAAAATCAAAAGGATATTCATTGTCGTACCTTCGAGTATTTTCAAGCTCAAATTTTACTTTAAGTTCAATTAACGATAAAACTGGAGCAGTTTTGGAAGTTAATTTTAGGAAGAAAACGAAGACATTATTGATCATATATCCGGGTTCTAAATTTCCTGTTGAATGATTTAACTATCCCACTCGTTCGATGTATTATTTCTGGGACTTTTTTTTAATTATTTAGGTATTGCAATATTAAGAAAGTTTATTAAGTATTAAACAAATGCATGTTATAAACACTATAGAAGATACTCACTATAAACAATAAACAGATAATCAGTTCTTTGTTTAATTCTCAACAATAATTTAGGGGTATCATTTCAAACAATAAGCAGATAATCAGTTCTATGTTTAATTCTCAACAATAATTTAGGGTATCATTTCAAACAATAAACAGATAATCAGTTCTATGTTTAAGTCTCAACAATAATTTAGGGTATCATTTTGGTTGAGAATTAAACATAGAACTAGTTATCTGTTTATTGTTTGTAATGATACCCTAACTTATGGTTGAGAATTAAACATAGAACTGATTATCTGTTTATTGTTTGTAATGATTCCCTAAATTATGGTTGAGAATTAAACATAGAACTAATTATCTGTTTATTGTTTGAGAACTGATTATCTGTTTATTGTTTGTAATGATTCCCTAAATTAATGTTTAATTCTCAACCATAATTTAGGGAATCACTACAAACAATAAACAGATAATCAGTTCTATGTTTAATTCTCAACCATAATTTTAAGTATCACTACAAACAATAAACAGATAATCAGTTCTATGTTTAATTCTCAACCATAATTTTAAGTATCACTACAAACAATAAACAGATAATCAGTTCTATGTTTAATT